GGGGGTGCTGTGAACTGGATCAAAGGGGTCGGGAGAAGGTCATTGACCGTGCCGGCTCTGCGGTGTCTCTTCTCCGCGGTGTCTCTTCATACAGTTCAAACATCCACCAACCACCCAAGGATCACTGGTTCACTTCTACACTCAAAATTCGGGCGAAGGTATTTGGGTTCTTATTGAAATGGGCCAGGAGCCAAGGGCACCAGAGCAAGCAAGATGCCAACGAAGGCTGATTTTAGGATTACACCTACTGTGGGTATTAGCTGAGGCTGTGGTCAGCAAAGCTCAGCTCACGTGAGTCGGGCACCTTGAAAGAATCCAAATATTAAGGGATTTATGGCTTCCGAGGTGACCACACACTCCTTCCCCCAGAGGAAGCACTGTCTTTCAGAGAAGTATCCGAGACTGGTAAAGTTGAGTAACGGTCCACATCCATTTACTGTTTCCTGAAACCCAATATACGTTCACCACTGAGGAGAAATCAAGCAACAAGTATAGCCGACAAGTGTTTTTTACATTTTAAATATACCTTTTATTTCTCAAACTCAAAACTTTATTTCATCAAGATCTAATACATTTTGCATTGACAGGTGATTTCATTTGCATCCAGTAAGAAGGTCAGTGACCATTACCAAAGAGGAAACCCCAGACATCCTAGGCACTGCAAAGAAATTAATCTTTCAAAGGCTACAAGAATATGGAATAACACAAAAAAAGCTTCCAATGTAGTCTAACGGGTGTCTTACTTTTCATCTATAATAATTTGAAATTTGCTGTTTTAGGAAAATTAAGTTTTTATCCATTATCAGGAAAAAAAACCAGATAGCTTGGGATTAAAAAAAAAAAAATACCCTTGAACCATATTGTTTAACTACTTCCTCTTCAGTGATGGTCGGCTCACCTTCCTATGCAAACACACATGAGAATTTGCACCAACTCTCACTAACCCAGGCAAAACTCCAAGCTTTTTCTTTAGCTTACACTTCAACTATTTTTTAAAAAAGTGATAGGTAAACAAGATTTAGGCACTTGAACTCACACACACACACACAAAAGCCTTTTCTTTTCTGACCCTCACCTTAGAGGTCTCCACCAATAATCCTGAAAAGTTGCCAGATCTTTTGAAACACTCTCTTCTACACAGACTCCCATGGTCCTCTGAATTTAACAGGTTGAATTGGAATCTGTGCCAAAGTCAGCTGTGACATTCTCGTCTCTGCTAGTTGAAGACTGTGACCCTCCCTCACCTTAGAAACTGGAAGTTCTCTCAAAGTACATAATCCACTCAAAGGGTTCTCCCTCTCGTGAAGCTCCAGTAAGATACCCAGGAAGGAATGGCCCTGGTGGGCATAGGGATCTCCTTCTTACTACTGGATAATGACTCTTTCCTCTCTGGAAGAGGACGTTTGAGCTAAGACTACAGCTGCACCTTAACACAAGGCACCAATACAAGCTAACGAGAAAGGAGTTATTCCTAAAGTTGGGAGGTTGCTTTCGAGTGGCACCCTGTCCCAAAGTTACCAAAGCAGTACAAGTTAAAACCTTAGCCCACCATGAAGGTCAGGTGTTAGTACTAGAGGTGAGGCTGAAGGACAAACAGATTCAGGGCTTTGGCCCTTGATTAACAACACATCACCAAAAACAGAGGTTCACACACAGCTTGCTGTGACTCAACCCCCAGGTAAAAATCATACTGGAAACAACACACAAACTAGAATGGCAAACCACATCTGTGCCAGGTCTCAGGAACTACAGGCACCCTCGTTCATGCCCAACTTGCCCCATCCGCCAGGTCTCACAGGCAGTCATCAGGAACCCTGATTTGAAGGCGTTTGTGACATAGAGTTTACTTTTGGCATTGGAATGATTGAGCGAGAAACTGTGTCTTGCTGCCAAGGTAAGCCTTAAAGGTGAGACTGAAGCGCTAAGCCAGGAAGCGCAAGGCTGCGGTGTGCCCTTCCGCCAACCCAAAGGGCAAAGGTGCTGTTCTCCTCCTGCCTGCTGCTCGACCTGACTCCAACAGGCTGCCCATGCGCAGGAAGCATCACAAGACAGTTCAGAGCCCTGAAGCCCACGAGAGACTGTGACTGCTGGAAGTCAGATTGGAGTCCGCACTTGAACTTTGGTGCCCTCTGCCCCCGCCAGGTTTATGTTATTCAACACACACACACACACACACACAAATAGGAACCACCAGACTCAGTACAAGTTCAGGATACCCAGTGCTTGTGTGAGCAGAAGGCAGGTTTCAGCTAGAACTTCCAGACACCTGAAATTCAAGGTTACCTGGTCTATTCAGAGGCTGGCAAAAGGCTCACGGTGGAGGTAGAGACACCACTAGCCCGGGGGGTTGTGTTTGAAAGTGGATTTGGTCAGCGTAGCTTTTTTGCCCTGATAGTTCTAGAACACATGTCTCTTCTCAAACTGCACAGAGAGCCAACTAGAAAGGTCAAGGGAAGAGACTCGTACCAAGACGGCCGGGGTGCAATGTGGTACTAGCTGGAGGCTGGGAATCTCTTACAATTTCTGGGCCTCCCTCTTCGTTCTCAAAGAAAGACTATTACCAGATGGGGGATATGTGTGCGTGTGTGTGTGCGCACACGCGTGCGCATATGTGTGTGTGTGTGTGTGTGTGTGTGTGTATACGTATGTAGGCAGAAAGAACTCCACGGACAAACGGGAAATTTAATTACTTGATGCAGATCCTAGCTTTAGCTGGTGCCTCATTACCTCGGTCCCCAAGCCTTCTAAGTAGAAGCAATACTGATTTCTGTTAGCAAGTGCTTATGTTGACGGCTTCACCACATTTCAAAGCTTTGGTGAAACAAATCTGTCATTTCTGTGCAAATATATTGCCACTGGACTACAACAGTAGCTTTTTAAGTTCATGGATAACATATAGTGTTCAAAATTGAGACCACTCTTCACTGGGATTCACTCTTCATTGCACCCCTCTTAACACTGAAGCACCCCAGATCCCCTCAACATAGAACCGGCCTTGACTCAAAGCCAGTTAATCCAAACCTAACTAAGGCTCACAGAGAAGCAGGAGCTGGTTACACTTAGAAGCGGCTTTTAGTCACCTAACATAGCACAACATGGATACCAGCTAAGCCTTGGGTTTCAGTCATGTCTGATCTGTTTTTGTTTAAGTGGACCAAGACATCACATTCCAGGAGAAACCTGAAAGTATATTTTTAGAGAAAGGTAAACCACTCATCTTCTACTAAATATTTCTGCATTAAGATAAGTTCATTGTTTAAAGCCAGGAGAAAGCAATCACTCAGGACTTTGGACTTCTATGTCCACAGGAGAAAATAACCATCAGGAGCATGGATTTGATTAAATCGCTTTAGAAACCAAGCTGGCTGGCAATACTGAGTGTTAGCCCTTGATATCCTAAAGAGATGCTTTCTAAGAGATCCCACGAAAAGCTCCAAAACACAAAACCTCTTACCTAAATCTACTGGAAAAAGCAACAGTAGCCTAGAACTCTCCCATGTACTAAGCTTGCTTTTGACTAGAAATTAACACTGTTTTCCTTCTAAAGTGCAAGAATATAAACAAGTATGGTCGCATCTACTAGAATAAGGAGGATTATTCCCGCTCACTCAATTCTTCCCCAACTACACCAGAATAATGTCAAAGTGCCTTGGGAGCTCTGATGCACACAAGGCCAGACTGAGCGCTAACCCTCGTCACGTACAGCATGGAGACAGCAGGTGAGATTCTGTAGCAGTTCCACAGGTCACTCAGGTCTACTGAAATTCCTGAATTTGCCTGCTGTCAAAAAACACCTGGAGAAGGAGATCGCTATTTTTGAGGAAAAAAAAAACCCAAAAAAACAAAGAGAACAAATACACAAAAATAGCCAAAGTACTCCAGAAAAACAGCTTGTCATACTTGGAATGTGACCAAAATGGGTTTCCAATTAAAACATGGGAAGACCCTCATGTCAGTTACTACAATGATTCCAGACTCTGCACAAGCCGTAGTCTCAGGAAGAGCAAAACGAAAGTCAGCCATGAGCCAATGAGAGAAAGAAAAAAGGGTCATTCAATAAGAATTCCTTAAAGAAAAAAAAAAGAACATTCATGTTTCCTATTTACAACCACCTGCTCCCACCACCCCTACAATTCTACTTTAACATTATGTTCCATATTTTATTTTGTTTTCAAGTTACATTTCAAGAAAAGGTCATTTTTTTTCATTCTCAGCAATATTTCACAATTCCTCGGGATAGCACAGCATCTAAGCCATAAACCACTTCCAACCAGATCTCAATTCTCCAGCTATTGGCTTTGGTTTATTGATGAAAGAAATTCTCAGCTCTGCTGACAGGGAATAAACACAAGCAATTCAGTCCCTTGAACACAAATGAAGTCACAAGAGCACCCTCATGTTTACCATTTTCCACTTGATTGAAACTGACACAGGAAAAGAGATTATCAGCACAACTTTCACATAACTGCTAAGACTCTCTTAACAGCTGAGAACCCCAACACAGCCTACTCCAGGCTCAAATGAGAAGAAAGGTGGCTTAACACTTCTCATATGGTGCCCAAGCGTTCCCAATCTCAGGGACTGCACAGAGCTCAAATGCCCGTGCGCTCACGTTTGGGACACGACACGTTGGTGTCTATCTGGGAAAGACACGCAGAGGTCACACTTCCCAGGGCATTTCCCAAAGCGGCACTGTGAGATGGGTCCTTTTAGGGTTGGCTCGTGACAGGCTGCCGACCCACTCCAATGGGTACACAAAGAAGAAAAAAAAAGCAGAATCAGAGCTGAGTTCCCCTTTAAAAGCCAAACACCTACATCTAGAAGGAGGCTCCCCTACCTGAGAGCCCTCGCCTTAGTGGGGTTCCCCCTGCAGAAACCCTCAGGTCTCAAGGCTAGTTACAGGGCAGCCAGGTAGGGTAGGGCTGGCTGTAGGTAACCGGAGGATGGGCCACGTAGTAGTTGTTGAAGTTGCCGTCACTGACGTAAGGAGCCGGCTGGTAGTAACAGGTGACGTTGGTGGCGTTGGGGATGATGTTCTGCTCCGCCAGCACCCGCAAGGCCAGGAGGGAGATGAGGTTCAGCGTCTGCCGGCGCTCGTGGCCCATGAGGCACACGGTGCTCTCGTTCACCACTCTGCGGAGGATCATGAGGTAGTCGTACTTGCTTCTCTCTTCTTCGGCAAAGTGGTTCTGAAGGTAGGTCTCCAGCTTCCGCTGCTGTTCCAGGATGTCCGGGAAGTCGATGAAAAACCGGGAGCACATGTAGCGCTCCAGCGTCTTGATCTCCTCCTGGTCCGTGGGCCTGAAGTCCCGCACGAGAAGGTTGCTGTACTTGAGGAGCCCGCCGCCTCTGATTTCCTCGGGGTTCTTGGTGGCGATCAGTCTGTTCTGCAGATGGTCCAAGGCCTCCTCGAAGTCGCCATACACGCTCTCCCCGACCACGGTGGGGTGGAAGTGCTCGGAGATGGGGCTGGTGGAGCAGTCGTAGAAGAAGAGCAAGGAGTCCAGGACGATCTGGAAGGAGTCCACGCTGAACTCAAACTGACGCCGGATGGAGTCGACGAACTTCAGCTCCACGTTCCTCCCGTTCTTGTTGGAGAGGGAGATCAAGCTCCAGCGGTCAGTGTCCGTGCACACCTTCACCAGCTTCTGCACATACGCCTCCTTCAGGGTGACGGGGCTGATCTTGAGCTTGTTCACGCCCTCCGGCAGGAAGTTCAAGAGGGAACACAGGACCACATCCCGGACCAGCTGAAACTCCGCCTCTGTCGGGAGAGCCACGTGAAAGATGAGATCCAGGTCTTTGCAGCCCAAGCCGTTGTCTTTGACCAGAACGTGGCCGGCCGCGGAGCCGTTCAGCCGGACGTCCTGCACTTTGATGCCTGCCTCCTCCAGCCGGCTGCGGACGGTCTGGACGATGTCCTTCAGCGTTATCTCCAGGGTGGGAAAGTTGCCTCGTCCGTGGACGGGCACGACCTCGGTCAGGACCTCGTGCAGCCGGCTGACCTGGTCCCAGCTGAGCACGCTGAAGGACACGCAGTCCCCGGTCCGGCTGCTCTCCTCTGCCATCTTGAGGGATGTTCTGGCCAGGGACACTGAAAGGGAGGGTGAGAAACACAGTTAGGATTCACTTCGACGTGGCCAGGCGGTGTGAGGAACTCAGGGATGCCGACTGAGGCCTGTACACGGCCTGTACACCTTCCTATAAAACGGCGATACACAGCACCCACTGCCCAGGGCTGCCGAGAAGACTAAATGTGCTGAATACCTACGGAACGGGCCCTCCACAGAGGAAGGACAGACGCTCAGACTGATTCCATGCCACTTTAGATGGCTTCCCAGTTCATTTTCGCGTGGGCTTTTGTTACTGTTTTGCTTGCTTTGCCTGTGTAGGAGCGGGGGACGGCACGTGCTGATGTGTGTGAAGGAAACCAAGTCACCCAAGCACAACATTATTTGACGACCAGTCCATAGGATTTGCTAATGCTCTGTTTTCCATACACGTTACTTTTCCCTACCCTTCATTGTAAGAAATACGCATCAAAAGGTGACCAGGGCATCAAGTGGGCAATGTACTTACTGGTTCAAGATAAAAATATTTTTATGGTAATTCCAACATTGCCATAAGTACGTGAATAAATGAGTAAATTAAACTTAAAAGTAAGTAAGAGTTGCCTGTTATTAGAACCACAATGCACTTTCGCTTCAAGCCATTTTTTCTGTCAAACGTGATAATGGTCACAGCCAAAATCCTGGAGTTACATGCAAATCATTTTAATAAGCCCCCACTGGAAACGTGGTGGTCCCAAATGGCTTCACTTCTTGTTTTGGTCAACATGCCCATTTTAACCAGGGGGTTTAAAAACTTTTAAAATGTATTGCTCAAAATTAACAAAGCTATATGAATGCAAAATAAATGTAAACCATTATACTTTCAAATAAAGTATAATGATTTACATTTCTGAAACTCCTAAAAAAAAGAAGTTACTTTTCTTCTTTTGGCTTTTTGTTTGTTTGTTTTTTGAGTTGGAGTCTCACCCCGTCCCCCAGACGGCAGTGCAGTGGCCGCTCCCGGCCACCGCAGCCTCGACCTGCTGGGCTCCGGCGATCCTTCCGCCTCAGCCTTCCTAGTAGCTGTAGCTGGAACTACAGGCACGCACTACCATACCCGGCTAATTTTTTGATTTATTGTAGAGATGAGGTCTCACCAAGTTGCCCAGGCGGGTTTCAAATCCGCGGGCTCAGGCAATCCACTCACCTCGGCCTTCCAAAGCGTGGGATTACAGGCTGAGCCACCGAGACACACACACACACACACACACACGTCCTCCTGAATACTTGGATCCTCAACTCTGGGCTACAACCTCACCAAGCAATGTGAGTCCAACTACTCCTGCTAGAATAAAGCACATGACTGTCGCCATGTTCCCATGCCCCTTCCACTTACAGGAGCAGTCAGTCCTATACCAAATACTTCTGCCAGCCAGGGTCCAGAAAGCCAAGGAGTTGTCAGCATGGCAAGATTTCTGGTCGATGGACGGCTGGCTCATCTACGTAACGGAATCACTCTTCCCGGCAAGGATGCCCAACACAGGACACGACCAACTTCCTCAGGGCGGTGTGGATGTTCAACTGTACCTTGAGAAACAGTACCGCAAAGCTACCTGAGGAGAATAAAGTTAGCCCCGAGCACCAGGAGCAGAAGGCCATCTTTCATCCTACACCTGCTAGAACCACAGTTCCCGAAGCCATTTTCAGCGACATTCTACTTTCAAAAAAGGAAACCCTAATATGGAAAAGAATCCTAAGATATTAGAAAGCCAAGGTGCCTGTGGAGTCACATGGGCTAGGTGGACGTAAAAGCCAACACAAAAGGTCAAGGTGCTGCCCCCAGATTTCACCGAGGCCAGTCTTCCCACCCCCTTCGCCTTTCTGACTTGCCAGGCACACACAAAACTCATCCCAATGACTTCTGCAGTTTCATTGTTTGGAAGCTGCTGCGTTTGAATACACAGCGGCATGCATTCTCCCAGGGTTCCAGCATGGATTTCTGGCCTTGTGCTGGTGCCAGGGATTCCCCGTGGTGGTCACTCCGTGTCTGAGTCCTGCTGGGCACAGGAGACCAGCATTCCAGGGCTTCCCACCAAGGAGAAGGGCGAGGACACGAAAATACCAAGGCCAACACAAGGCCAAGGGTGGTGCAGACAAATAAACGGAAACAAAGGTGGAGGAAAGCGTTTTGACAGGGTGAGCAGGAAGGCCACAGAGGAGTTCCGCTATGGGGAGAGGGCACCGCCAAATGACAGGAACACGTAACACGAGCTCTTGGCTGGGGCTGAGAGGCAAGCAGGGTGATCTCCAGATCAGAGCGGGCTCTGTAAGATCAATGTGAGGACGAGCGCTCCACTGCTCACTGCAGAACACTTCTCGAAGAGAATTTAAACGTCTACCTTCAGACCTTTTTGAACAGTGCTAAAAATAAAAAGTCCTAGGTCATCTAGATGATCAGTGATGAAATCCTTCAAGTTTTTTGTGGCAGGCGTTAGGTTTCGAGTCAGATTTGGGACACGAGTCTCTTTGTACTATTCTCTCTATACACTCAGTAGTTCTTTGGGGCCTCTTAGGGTGAGCATACAGGACGTTTGTGCCCGTTGTACAAGGGGCTACGCGATGAAGTGCAAAGGGTTACAGAAAGGTATGGTTCTGGCTTTCTTTTGAGGCGTAGCCTGACGACCTATGATTTGGGGGCATGGACTCGAGAGATCTCAGGCATGTGAGGCTACCTGGGGTGCTTTCAGGACTCAGGCTTATGATGCAGACACGAGATGTCACAGAGCAACAGAGGAGCCACCATGCAATCAGTACTGGGGATACAAGTCGGCCGGATGCAGTGGCTCAGCCTGGCATCCCAGCGCTTTGGGAGGCCGAGGCGAGTGGATTGCCTGAGCCGGTGGGTTTGAGACCCACCCAGGCAACTTGGTGAGATCTCATCTCCACAACAAATAAATAAATAATAGCTGGGCGTGGTAGCGTGCATCTGTAGTTCTGGCTACTCGGAAGGCTGAGGCAGAAGGATCGCCGGAGCCCAGAAGGCCAACACTGGAGTGGCCGTGAGCATGCGTGCCATTGCACTCCAGCCTGGGTAAAGGAGTGAGACTCCAACTCAAAAGAAAATCTCCAGCAAGACCCTCAGTCATGTTATGGAGGAGAATTAGTGAAGGACTAGTTTTTGACTCACATCTTTTAATGAAGTTGTTAAAAAAAAGTCACGTAGGGTAGGGTTAAAGTCAGGATGACCTCTTTGCTATAATAGAACAATGGGGTTTTTGTTTGTTTTTTTAAGACAGGGCCTTACTCTGTGTCCCTCCAGCTGGAGTGCAGTACTGCAAATCATAGCTCACCAGAGCCTCAACCTCCTAGCTCAAGTGATCTTCCCACCTCAGCCTCCTGAGTAGTGAGAACTACAGACATGCACCACTATGCCTGGCCAATCTTTTTTCTTTCTGGTAGAGACAGGGTCTTACTATGTTGCCCAGGCTGGTCTCAAACTCCTGGTCTCAAATGACCACCTTCCTTGGCCTCCCAAAGTGTTGAGATTATAGGCATGAGCCACCATGCCCTACCTTAGAATAGCAGTTTTTAACATCAGAGGAGGAACATCTGAGACCAGTGAGAATCTGGAAGTTATGACCCTTTCCTCTGGGGGGAAAAATACATATGGTTGAGAATTTTTATATGTTTTAAAATATGTGACCCTGCAATAGATTCAAAGTGATGTTTCAGACTGGCAATTTGTAAGGTTCACATGGGAGGTGGGGCAGAAAGAGTAAAAAGACAAAGTTATAAAAAATAGGAATAACGCATACTAGCCTGTAGGAAATATCACAAAGCAACAAATATTGAAATGGCATGTTACTGGCATGAAAAGACAAATTGATGGGACAACATTTTTTTAAATCTAGAAATGAAATACCTGAAGGGATTTGGTATCTAATAAAGGGGGCATTTCAGAGTAGTAAAAAAATAAAATAAAATCTGGATTGTTATCTAGATTTAAAAATAAATAAGTAAAGGTGGCTCCCTATCTCATGCCAAACTAAAATCTAAATGGATGGATGGAAGACTTAATGTAAAAGGGTGAAAGTCTATGAGTACTGGGGAAAAAATAGCATTTATATATACTTACACAAGGTAAGTAGTTCTTTATAAATCACATAAACCTAAACATCACAAATATTACTCTATTTGATTATATAAAATATCTACATGACAAAAAGCACAAGAAAAAACTCAGAAAATATTTGCAACATTAGGCAAAGTATTCAATTCCTTGAATGAATAAGGAGTTTCAACAAATCAGAAATACCAGAACCCCAACAGAGTAGGGACACAAAAGACATGCACAGCCAGTGGCTCCAACACAAAACATATTCAAGTTTACTTAAGGATTGGGCAGATTAATCCCCTAATGGATTGTTTTCACCTAACAAGTCAGCAAATATCAATAAGTCTGATAGGTGGGAAGCAGACACCTCTAGAATATTCTTGTGGGCTCTTCTGGAGAACAAAGCAAGACTCTTAATTTTAAGTGAACGCACACTTTGACATAGCAATTCTGCTTCTGGTAAGACTACTATGAATTCTATCCTCTGAGTATACTTGCAAGTGTGCATAAAGGTATTCACTGTACCTTTCATCTGTAAAGTTGCAAGCATTCCCCAGCAGAAGATGGCTCAATGATTTGATGTGTGTATTTAGCAGTACACGAATGCATGCAGTTGTTCCAAAGGATGGTGGCTGTTCCTTCTGTATGAACGTGAAATGCTCATCAAGATTCACGAACAGAAAAGCAAGTGCAAAACTGTGTGTGTAAAAGTTCATGCTTATACAAGCATATAAAATCTCTGGAAAGATATACAAGTAGTTTCAGCCTGTACCAAATACCTCCTCTAGCTGAGGGGACGGGGGAAGAAAATGTATTTTGTGCCCTTTGAATGTGGAACCTATGCATGTATTATTAGTTGAAGAAAAATCAAAATCTTTTGATCCACGTTCTAAAATCTTTCCCTTATGAGCCTTCTATTTCTCTATT